CATACTATAGCTTGACTTGGAAGAACATAAAAATGGCATTAGAGCGATTTTCGAATGGTGTTTCCGAAGACAATGTACCTAGTTTAAAGCATATCTGTCGATTTCAAATCCGGTATATTTTAAAATTGAATGACACCATACGCAAACCAAATGTTTGGAAGAAGCTGAATTTACCCGTTCATCTTGATTCCTATATTGAAATTGACTTGCGTATGGAAATTGAAGCAGTGGAAATTAAGATTAGAAGTGGAAATCAAATCCCAGCCCCAAGCCTTGATGAGTAAATAAATCATTGACCTACTTTTTTTAAATTATTTACTTGCCAATATCAATAGGTTAATTCCCAAATGAAGAAAGTCTAAAATAAATCGTATTGCAATTTTTCTTCTTCCTCCTTCTTTAAATAACTTTGAAATAACCTGAATCAATAATTTTTAATCATATACAATGGGACCAACTGCAATGACCAATTAAAAAAGATCAATTAATACGTCATTCCGTTATTGACTTAAATATCACAATACCTCTTTGATCACCAAATTAAAACCTACTAGATACACCATTTTTATTTTTTGTAGTGATTCATACATTGAAAATGGAAAATATGGAGAAGATCAATGTATGCATCGTTTTGATTTAGTATTCGTAATTTCCTACTATCCATAACGAATATAAATAAAAAGAAAATTTGTGATTTTTGAATATAATCAATGATCTATGAATTCGTGATCAATAGAGACATCGTTATGTTTTGGCGATTCATAATATTCTAGTATTCATAACGAAAGTGAGAAAAAAAGGACTATTTGTGATCATCAATTAAATTTTTTTAATTCGGACACCATTTTTCATGTTGTAGTCATTTCTTATGTCTCATAAAAAATTATTCATAATAGAAACAAAATAATTTCGACCATTCGGGATCAATGGAGATATCGTTTCGTTGAATTTTTAAGATTCATAATTTTCTAATATTTATTACGAAGTCAAGGAGAATTTACCAACTGAGATCTTCAAATAGAAAAAATTAATTAAGATATCGTTTTGTTTTAATCTACCTATTCGTAATTTCCTAATATTCATAACGTAAGCAAGGAGAATTTACCATCAATGATCTCCAAATAGAGAAGATCAATGAAGATATGGTTTTGTTATATTTTGATGATTCTTAATATTCATGAAGATAACGAGAAGGATTTAACATCTTAATCTTTGAATAGAAATGAAAAAAGGTGACATTTTCTCGTTAACTTTCTGTGATTCACAATTAATAACAATATACAAATAAGTAATAACGATTCATAATGAATAAAATCATGATTCATAATGTAAATAGACCATTTGTGATAATCAGTTAAAAATGTTTAATCCACACACCATTGTGCAATAATGTAACAATTCCTAATTTTCGGTACTTACGTATTAACGCAACCAGACCAAAATTCACATAAATCCCAGTACTTACCCTCTACCTACGCCAAATTTGGCGACCCTACTTACGGCAACCCTACGTGTTATACGTGGTTTTTCGTAAAGAAACAAAATAATAATAAATAATTCTGTTTTAATAATAATTTGATAATTTTAACAATAATTAATTAATAATAATTTTGTTTTAATAATAATAATTTGTTTTAATAATAATAATTTTGTTTTAAATAATTTTTAAACAAAATAATGTAAAAAACTGTATTAAAAATTATCTGTAATTAATGAATGTACATTTTCTTACTATTCATACTTTCTTACTCAAACTTACAAATCGCGCCAACCTGGTTGCGATAATACGTAAGTACCTAATTTTCTAATATTCGAAACGAAAGCAAAAAAAAAAAAAAAATAGAAACGATCAACGGAGAAACCATTGCATTGCGTTATAAAGAAAACAAAAGATTTAGACCTTGAGTTATCGCCAAGAGGGTAAGACCAAAGACTCTAGGAAGATTTTAAAAATTTATGTTGAATTCCGTACACTCCCGTATGTAAGATTTGATGCATCTGAGCATGCTCGTAATGAAAACACGTATTTTTAATTTTTGTTGGTATGGTTTTACCAAGTTACAAGCACGCTGTCCAAAGCTGTTAATTCTTGGTTTCTGTTTAAACTAGGAGCCTTAGTTTAAACCTACCTCAAAATTAACAAATTGAGCATCATGCAGATAGATCAAGAACTCTAACACAAAAATTAGGATGAAGGATTCATTATTAGAAAATATTAAAATGAATCGTGTGATTTTACAATAGTTTATTTAATAGACATAGTTTAATTAATAATTTAACTAATAGGTTGATTTAATAAAAAAAATAAATGTAATAGATTTTAGTTTAAAATTATGGTGTAATTACACTAGGTCCATACGAAACTAAATATTTTTTCATTGCTAATAATTGGGTATAATATGAAAAAAACACAACTACTTCGATTTAGTAGGAACAACATATAACGCAATGCTAAACGAATGGAATTTAGTTGTTGTTTATTTAGTTATTGTTATTAGTAGTTGTTGTTATTTGTTTTAGTTGTTGTTGTTTATTTAGTTGTATTTAGTTTCAATAACTTTTCTTTATAATGCAATAAAATCTGGCGAGCAGCTATTTAAACGATCGAACACTTCGTTTGTTTATTTGTGGCTTGAAGTTAGGCTCGCAGAAAATGCCGTTCATGGGTTAAATTTAGTAGGAACAACACAACCTGTGACGAGGCAATATTATACCCAATTGGGTATACTATAGCCTACGTCACAGATCGTGTTATTCCTACTAAATTTAACTAGTAAACAGCATTTTCTGCGAACCTGATTTCTAGCAACAAGTAAAAGCATCAAACGAAGTGTCTTGTTTATAAGTCGCTACTCGCCAGGTTGGAATTGTATTAGTCTAGTTCCTTTGGAAATAATTTATATTGTTGTTTTACCGAAGTTTATGAATTTAGTAAGCATATTTAAAACTCAGTTTATTAATTAAACTAAAAGGTAAATGTTATTCCTAGTAAGTGGAAGAAGTTGTGCTTTTTTCATATTATACCCAATTGTAGAATATATTTACTTTAATTATAAAATTAAGCTGAAAGAAGTTAAACTTCCATAATATACACGTCCATTAAAAATGTTAGTCCAGATTTTGCTGTCGAAGTCAAGATAATAATCTATTACGTCTTTAGCTTACAGTTTTCTTTTAAAATCCCTTTTTTTCATTCAAGTTAGATATTTTTTCACGGATTTCTAGAGAAATGACGCATGCGCGTCAGTTATGCTACATTTTCATCACATCTTACGTACATCATTACGTATCATCTTGTCTGTTTTCAATCAAATCTTTCGTAAGGGATCGTATGGAAGACATGTTAAATTGCAAAATCTCCCAACTATTTTGAAAATCTTTGGAAAAATTATTAAGTAAGAGAAGTTTAGAATTAAAATTTGATATAAAAAATATTTTCACTCATTTGTTTCTAAAAAAATCAAAAACTCTGAGAAATGTTAAATTATAAAATAAATTATATCGAGTAGTTACTTTGAATCTAAATGATACACTAACTCCAGCTTTTGATGCACTAAAAATCCTAACTTATAAAACTGTTCTATTCAAGGCATAAGTCCTTTTGAAACAAACTACGTGGCTTCTGCTCAAGTGCATGAGAGTTAGAAATAACTATCATTAAAAAGCCATTATAGAATTCCGTTATGCAAATGATATTTCCCGCTCTATTTCACTTTAGTTTTCACCTGATATCTTTTTGCTTGCATTCAAATATCGATATCACATTCTGTTTGGATAGCGAAACTTTATAAAAGTGTTAGTTGCTGAATTAGTTTCGCAATTACTTCATTTTTGAGATATTCGAATTGTTCAAACTTCAGCTTTTTAGTCTTATATTCTTAATAAGTATTTCATTTCATTTCTTTTTTAAGATGGCGCTTAATATTAAAAAAAAAAATAACATTTAAAAAATATTTGCATTTATATTGAACATATATGTTCCGGGCGCAAAATAAAAAACGATCCACCCTGAATAATTTTCGATCTAATGATCGGATCTTCACGTTCTAGGACTCAATCTTAATGGTTAAAGAGGATGATTCTAAATATGCTAATTACTTAGTGCAGACGATAATTTAAGTTACAAAAACAAACACAAGAACGTACTTTCTCCGAATAAATGTATTACTTTTTCTCCAGACTCCGATTTATGACTCGATTTCTTAGGCACTTTTCAACCAATTTCGCTCAAATTTTGTATTTTGCTTCTGAAAATTTCATTTCCAAAATGTTGTAATGTTGTAAATGCTTTATTTCTAAAATTTAAAAACTTGATTACCCCGCATTTCAACTTTTTTTTAACCAATATGATATAAAATAATAAAAAAATAATAAATATCTGCTGAAACTTATATTTTGCATGGGATTCTCTTTAGATAAACAAGTTTTATAATTGGGTGCAAAAAATTTTTAATTCATTTTTTAAGTTCTCAAGATATGGTGAAAAACGCAAAAAGTAAAATTAACATTAAGGAGCCCAAAATCGCTCTCCTGACCAAACTATAAGGACCATAATTCCCAGATTGCGTCTAACCCCTACATTGTGGTGTCAAAAATCCGAATCGATCGAAAAAACGGTATGTTTATTAATAGAAAGTACGTTTTTGTGTTTGATTTCGTAATTTATATTATCGTCCGACTAATTAATTAGCATATTTGAGGTCACCCCTTTGAACCATTAAAATTGAGCATTAGAACGTTAACATCAGATCATTAAATCTAAAGTTATTCAAGTTTGCCCGTTTTTTTTTTATTTTGAGCACTGTACAATTGAGAAAATTCCGTATAACGGTTATAACTTATGAAGTACGGGCAGATGTTTCCTTCTGTTAAGTGTTGCAAAAACATCATGTAGAAACGTTCAATTTCTTTAACATGCATTTCGTTCTAGGTTCAGAATAAAAATTTATCACCAATGAAATGATTATATGTGTAAAAAGAAAAAGAAGATAAAAACCAACCTGTCTTTCCAGAGCCGCTTTCACCCGTGATGATAACACTCTGGTCAACGTTGCGATCCTTCATAGATCTGAAGCAGTTGTCGGCAGCAGCGTAACTATGTGGGAATAAAAAGTACCATTGTTATTCAAGAGTCAAAAAATATATGTATAAGGTACAGCGGTTATAAAGGGGAATACCATAAATATTCAGAATGCATTGCAACGCAACACGTCATCGTACACCTGCGTACTCGTGCTAGTACTTTTATTTATCCAAATTGTCTTATTTTAAAGTTTTCTAATTCAAACGTCAAAAATCACATTAAAAAATGCCACGAAATAACTGCTTTTTCGTGGCACTACAGCAGAATTTACAAAATTGGTACTCAAATGAGTAGACTCTAAAAAATAGTCACCAGTTCAATAAACTGCTTTAAACATTTATATTTAGGCCTATATGAATAGTATTTTTCGATAATAATTATTAGGAAAGAATTAGCAGAATTTAGGTCCAAATGCGCACGAGCAGCCAGGCCATAATAAGAAAGATCCCCCAGTGACGTTCAATAATGTTACTATGCATTCTCAATCCTTACGATACCGCCTACCTAACCGCCGTACTGAATCATCCTGTTTCTGGGTGCCATGTACTTTTAGAAGCATATACCAATTTTGTAAATTCATATACTTTTATATACTTTCGTATACTTATACGTTCATATACTTTTAGAAGCAACAGGAAAATTGCTTCTAAATGTATTTTTATTGAGCAGCTGTCAGCTAAGAGTATAAAAATTGATGTCTATGTATATTAAAATAGCCTAGAAGTGCATACCGGATAATGAAATCTAATTTTTAAAAAAAAAACATAAACGTCGGGAATAACGGGCAATAGCATAAACTATCATACTCTATCTTAAATAATCAAAACATTATTAATAATAAGTCACATTATTAACACCCCACTCCGTATTCCACAAATTGACGTTCTACTTAATCTATTCTCGCTCTATTTTTAAAAAGAAATTAATCCCAACTTCTGAAAGTGGAAAGAAATATTTTAATGTAAAATATAATTCATTATTATATTTGGCATAAAAATGATATTTTCATATTTTTTTGAGGCCAAGCTAGCTTTTTATCGCCAAATCATCACCTCAATTTAAAAAAACTTGATTTGTTTTTTTTAATATGGTTGTTTTTATGCAAACTAAAAATGTGAGCTTATGTTTATTAAAAAATATACAATCTGGTTAAAAAAGATGCACTAGTAGGTTTTCTGTAAATATTTACTATAATTTTACAATAATGAGTTATTTTAAGTGTGAAACTTACATGTGTGGAGGTAGCTCGTATGTACAGCACCGTTGGTAAGCCAGAATAACTTCTGTTGTGTAAAGGGCTAACTTCTTATAAGGATTCACTGAAACGACCACGCTTCCAATGTAAGTCTGTAACATTAAAAGAACGAAAACTCATTATACAGTTTCAGCAAAATGCACAATATAAAATTACTTAGTCGTATATATAGAGGTTTTTTGTTAACAGCGTATTTAAATAACACAATGTCCAGGGAGTAATTGCTTTTTTCCCTTTATGTAAAAAGATTCAATTCAAAATAACTTACGTTTTTAATCTTAACCATAAAAACGAGTTACCAATCTTTATCATTATCTTTATCAAATACATATTAAATTCCAGCTATTCCTAAGAAATTGATTTTCCTAAATGTAAGCCAGACAGGTTAAATGTGGGCTTAAGCAGCTCCATATAGGCTATATCAATTAAAGCAATGTAACAACCGAATGTCATGATATATAGCAGGTGCTAAAACATGAATAACCCTCCACAAGGATATTAATAGCTGATATTACAACCCGCTATTATGGAAATGTTTGCTTAAATGTTACTGAACACAATAGTTGAAGCAACTATTTGCGTAAAACCTAAGCATCTAATTGGGCGTTGTATTAAAGCTAATTAAAGGCAATGGCATTTATATTACTTCGAATATCGGTTTAAGTTCCTGGTTTAAATGCTTTATTTCAAAATATAAATTTAATAACTTATAATAAATAAATAAATAAATTGATTTATGTCAAATTTAGTGCGAACTAATTTAATATTAAAATTGGTTTACGTAAATTTAATATAAAATTAATTAGTATTGAATTTGATTTATGACAATTTAGTTTGAAATATTTAATGATAAAATTGATTTATGCTAATTTAATGTAAGATAATTTAATTTTAAAATTGAATTAGATTAATTTAATTTAAAAATTGATTTACATTAATTTAATGTTAAATTTAATGCATGCAAGATTAACGTTAATTTTTTTGAATTAATTAAAAGTAGAATGATTAAATTTTGAATTATAATAAATTTGGATATAGATTTTGAATTGAATAATTATAAATTTGATTAAATATTTAATATTGGTTTATACTAATTTAATGTAAAATTATTTACTGATAAAATTGATTTATACACATTTATGAAAAAATGCAACGATAAAATTAATTTATGCAAATATAAAATAATTTAATGTTAAAATAGAGTTATACTAATTTGATGTAAAATAATTTAATGTTAATTTTAATTCACATTTACTTAATGTAAAAATATTTAATGTTAAATTATAACCGTTATAAATTTTTTGTCACATGCAAATTTCATGTTAACATTGGTTTATATCAATTTAATATAGAATAATTAAATTTTGAATTCGATTTATACTAATTTAATGAAAAATAGTTGAAGCTGATTCATGCAAAATAATTTATACTGAACTATATAAACTAATTCAATGATATAATTGATTTATGCTAATTAATTATAAAATAACTTCATGTTCAAATGGATTTACATTAATTTAACGTAAAATAATTTTTAATATTAAAATTGGTGTATCATTTATTTAGTTTAAAATAATACTTTTGTTTAATTATGATACACACAAATAATTTCAAAAATAATTTTAAGGAGAATATATAACTCATTATATAATAATACTTATACTTTTACTCATTATATAATAATATATGTACTCATTATATAATACTTTTACTCATTGTATAATAATATTTCTGATGGTAAATATTCTCAAGTTTTTAACATATCTATCTTTCTTTAAACATATTTAAAATACAACATTTTATCAGTTGAAAAAGAAATATAATTTTTCATGGATGAAAAATGTCAGCAAGCCGTCTAAAATTTCAAACACTTGAAAATAACTTTTTTGTTAACATAATATTTTTTTATGTACTCAAATGTCTTTTTTCACACCAACTTCGAAAAGATCCAAATATGTAACCGAGTGAGCCAACTCTGAGGCAAGTTTGACACATAAAATACGTAAAAAGAAAAATAAAGAATGATTTTCCGATATTTTTTAAAACAAAAATACAGCTTTTCTTCAAAGAAATTATATTCTGAAGTTATAACGCTATGGTAGCTTAAAATGAAGTTTGAAGCGTTATTTTAACCTACCGGATGCAATCCCTCCCCAAATTTTCTAAATTAACACCGATTTTCTCAACTTCAAATCTGTACTCCCATCTATAAAGCAGTTTTAAATATTTCGTTACAGAACGAGTCCTATTATATTTTCATTGATATGATTGTTCATTTTAATTATAACATTATTAGAAATTTATCGCAAAATAATTATTAAATAACAATTTATTTGATTGTTATTTTATAATATTTAAACAAAACATTAAAATAACAGTAAATAAAATTCTATTCAAACTGTAAACTGCGAGAAAAACCGTTAATAAACGGTTAATAAACTGCTTTCGTCTAATACGGTTAAAAACCAGGATTTTGCCCTGCTAAGGAAGCAACTTAGTTCCATGCAACTAGGTATAGCTCGTTCACCAGGAGTTGGCACTTGGCTCCTCCTTCATCACGTGGTATGCGACGATACTATTTCGCTATTTTTGGGAGAAGGTTATGAGCAATCTTCAACAAGGTTTCTATTTGGCGATCGTTTGGCAAAAATATTTATTCCGCAAACTTTATGTGCATTTTTTTAACAATAAATATCTCATAAATTTGATGATATTTTGCACCATTTCTTATGATATTTCTTTCTTTTGAGTGAATAGTTTGTCCTTTATGAGACATTTTGCTGGGAGAACAGCATTTTTTAAATTTAAAAACTATATTTAACTAGCTAGAGTAACAAAAGGTATAATAGGAGATGATAAAGCGAAGTAAGTGACTGAAAAAGAATTCACTGTTTGTGTTTGGCGCAAATTAAGGGTTGTCTCAATTTCAAGCACGGAGTTGTTTCTGTTCTGACTCCCGCGCTGAAATGAACTCTACGTCCGAGGAGGTGGAGCCAAGTGTCAACTCCTGGTGAACGAACTATACATATTATATCCGAAATGGCTAATCATTCACTCTCTTGACCGACAAAAGGGGGGTACGGGTTCCAGCATTGACACCACGATATTTCTTCCATTCCCTTCAACATATGAAGTTTCCAGTGTCTTACACTACCCTACTTGTGACTCACACTATTACAATACGATACTCTCACTCACTCATAGATGGCAGCACCAAAAAGCAGCGTAATAGCTTACCATATAGACTAACTGCAATTACCATTTAAATATTATTTTTACAACAGTTTTAAAACTATGCTAGATGTAAATGATTCAAAAATAGTATAGTTTAGTATTTATGTTTTTTTTACCATACTAGTTATAAATGGTTTAAAAACCGTAAAAGTAAAATATGTTCTTTACCGTTAATTGAATGGACAGACTGCTGAAGGTTATTTTACCCTAATTTTAGAATGAAAATCCAAACAGTGTAATTCAAAATTGACAGCCGTTCATCAAACTGTAAATAAGGATTCGGGTTGCAGGGATTGAAAGAATTCGCCTTGTTGTTTGACATAAAAAGAACAAATATTATATTTGATTAACTATTATAATTTGATACTTGCAAATGACGTCATCATATGCAAATCAAGGCATTTTTCAATTCAGAAGAAAATCAGGTTCGACACACATACTCGACGTCGCTTACAGGTATCCAATTAAATCTTATTTAAATCACATGGTTAGACATAATAACTTCACTTCCTCTAGAATTGCAAGTGGAAACATGTTTTAAAAAGAGGCCACAGTTAAATGTGTTGTAACTAAACACTGGGCAGTAGTGAAATTTCCTAATTTTGCCCTGAACCTCTATTTAGGGGGAGAATTCTCTAGTACAGGGAGCATGATTACAAATCAAGAAGCGTGGAGCTATAGTCCTGTAATTCCAAGCTTCCTCCCTGATTAGGGCAAAATGCACACCACCCGAGAATGGCCAAGCACTTAGCCCTGAAGGGATTCGGCAATTGCAATTTTCCTGAAACAGATAAAGCAGGTAGAATTTATTTTAGATCTCAAAATTCGAAAATAAAATACGACCTTCATTAGTAACAAAATGGATTTAAAAGCTTTTCAACGATTCGAGTTTGTCACATTAATTGTAATTTTTCTTTTATATATTTCTATTCATTCATTTTGTTGCATGGGATAAAAAATTTTCCACCTACAAATTACACATTATTTAAATTAGAAAAAATGTCTGTCTAGGAATTAAAGGGGAATTAACTTTACACTTAAAAATATATATCAGTGTAAAAAATACCGAGGAATGGCATTTTACTTAAAAAATTATCAGTGACGAGATATATACCTGCCTTTCTAAACATGCAAAAATAAGACGATAGTCCACTTCTCTTAGCTTGGAATAATGTAGAATTGTATCACATTTTATTTCATTAAAAATTGAGTTTAAATATTTTGTTAAAATTAATTGCTTTACTTTAGTTGATTTTGAAAAACAAAAACCGATAATAACATTTCGGGAACTGAATTTCTTATTATAATGCTTAAAGCATTTTTTTTTTTTTGAAATTCAAACATCTAAATCTCTATTTAACGAAAGCTTAAAAAATCGATTGTACAAAGTTTCGTTCTTTTCGTCTTCTTTTCCACGAAGAACACTCGTGCATTTTATTTTCCTATTTCTCTAAAAAAAAAAAGTATCGAAAGGAAAACACGTATGGATTACATGTTTTCTTTACTCTGCTGAAGATCTTATTTACTCTAAACAACTTCGCATGGCACGAATTGTTTGTATTCCGTATCTTATATCATTTCAAACATATGCTTTACTCACACATCTTTCAGTTGGTTAAAGTTATCAAAGTTTGTTAGAAAAAAAATTACTTCAAAGAAGTTCGAATTAAACAAGTCGAAAAGAATAAAATTCAAAACTTCTTGGCCAGTTTCCAAATCCTCGTCCAACTTCCGTTTTTTCCAATACTTCGTCTGCTTTCCTGCTTCTCTCTTTCGCTGTCTAAATTCCCTTGCGTGTGCCTTAATCTTTTGCAATCTCTTCGATCAGACTCTTTAAGCTAGCGACCAAGCCACTCGTTTCTCCTACAGACGATATCGTGTAAAGAAGGGCAGTTGCAACTAAACTCTCCAGCTTGGATATGTTTCTCTTCCGCTGGTACCGGCGAGAAATAATTTATAACTTAAATACAGACGGTAAGGGAAAGAAATTGAGCTTTAGATGGAAACGAG